TAAATAAATTTGACCATCAAAATAATAAATCTAAATTAGTCATTGAAACAAAAATAAGTTAAAAAATATATATATGTTTGAGGAGGATTAAATATACTCATATGGAATTATATTTATTTTTTAAAATAATAAAAAACTAACCTGAAATTAATTTTTTTCATTTTCGTTAGGGGAAAAGGGTATATGTGAGCCATTTATATATAAGTAGGGGTATATATGAGTCACTTTCATAACGAGGGGTATATCAGCTCTAAATGACAAAGTTGAGGGGTATATCAGACCCTTTTCCCTTTATTGTATCCATCCAATGCCCCAAACTTGACCATTCTACACCGTACTCTTCATTGTACTCTTCATGAGTAAAAAAACAGATTGAAAACATATTCCATATTCGTACTCTTTTAGGGTGGGTGTTCGGTATTATTAAATTTTCAATTCGATAATTGATAGATAAAAGTAGATATTAAATATCGAAGTTTTAAATTTGGTTCAGTAATTCGGTAATCAGTAAATTCAATTTTGTTTGGTATGGTATTCGGTAATAATGTAGTTTGCAACAAATTTTAAACATATGGAAAATAAATCAACCACACAAATAAAATATGAAGAAACACAACTTTATTGATAAAAATGTGGGTACAATTCTATTCCTCCCTTGATTCTACTCTCCATTCGATTTATCCATGATTCGAGGGTCGTTAGTGGCGTATTTCTGAAACTAGGAAGATTTAGATTTGACCTTTTTATGAATATTCCATGACTTTTGTGGAATATTCGAGATGCATTTTCAAGGGAATATAGTACCCTTTATATAGATATGAACGGTTTAGGGTTGAGTAGTCTCCAAGAATTCTAATTGGAACTGAACACACCTTTTAGAATCCCAACTCAAATTGAACACATCTTGTAGAGTCCTACAAAATTTCAAAGTCTACAAAGGTATTAAAGTTGTTGTATTACAAAGTTAATACTATTTCTTCCATCAATTTTGTTTTTTTATGTGGAGGCACGATATAATAGAAGACCAATAAGTAAGAAGACATCAAGAAAAACAAATTGATACAACCAAAAGAAAAACATATTGATACAACTAAAAGACATGTATTTGGGTTGTTTATGTTTATTCTTTAACTTTACCTTTATTAAGTAAAATAATTCAGTATTCGAAAAATATCAAATGGTACTAATGTACCATACCAAATCCAAACCCGAATTTCATAATTCTAAAATTTTCCTCCCGAATACCATATTGAATACCCAATTACCGAATATCAAATAAGAACTTATAACGGGGTCTCAAAAAATAAGTAATTTTTGCTGGGCCTTGATCCTTTTATTAGGTTCATTAAGCTTCTTATTAGTTGGAACTTCCAGTTATCTTGGTAGAAATTTGTTATCTTTTTTTCCGCCTCAGCAAATCATTTTTTTCCACAAGGAATCGTGATGCAGGTAGGGGTTATGATCGATTCGATAGAAAGGAATAGTCTGTATTTTTTGTTGGGGATTTCTAGAAAAAAATCACCGCATATTCCTCTGAATCCATATAAAAGATATTCAGTATGTTAGAAATTACCGAATACCAAATAACAAAAAATATTGATTCGATTTGATAATTCGATTTTCAGTACTTCATGCTTCTTCATGAGCATGAGTTGAAAACAGATTGAAAACATCATATAAAGAGGTGAATTGTAATGCTAAACCTAATGTTCAAATATTATATTTCCAACATGATTGCAATCTTTAAACAAAAAACAAACTCAATTTCATGAAATCCTTTAGTTCAACCTACCACTTCAATCTGCATCTGCATTTGCTCATCTGAGTCTCTTTTTGTTCTCTTTCTGCACAGCTGAATCTCTTTCTCTCTTCTTTTTCTCTTCGTATCGATTTTCGGAAAATATAAACTCTCCGAAAATATTGGAACCATATAACATCGCAAATTGTTGAACATATTAATTTGATTAACGAATCGATGTCGTTCCAAATCATATATTGCACAATATTGAGACTCAGCCGTTCTGATGTGAAAGAGAATTTCGTCATGATTCGTTGCATCGACCAAAATCACACTATTCTTTATAAATTGACCGCACAAGACATAATGTATGCAAGTAATAGTTAATGATAGTTTCCATTCGTGTTGTTCCATTATCCAAACGTCAAATGTTTTGCTCGAGATTATACCACCGTATAAACCAACACAACCTTTCAAAGAAGTCAATCTATACAATTGATTGTTTTCACGTATAAAATCTGGTTTTGGGAGCTCCTTCAGTTCATCTGATCTCACGTCAAAGTATATAATCTTAGAATTTCGACCTACTAATTGGTGAATTTTCCATTCTATTGACCAAAACACACGATTTTCTGTGTTTATTCCCGGACTGCAATCCCATGATCTTACATTCAGTTCTTTCACATGAACACTTGATTTCTTCTCCCAACTATTCCTAATTAGGCTATAAACAGCGTAAAACGATCTATAGATCAATATAATTTTGTAGTCATCCGCGTAAGGATCGTAACAAAATCCACATGCGTGTGGAGTTGTGCAGCTGTAAGTTTTCACATATGGACATTCATATATTCCATATTCGTTACTATATGGATTCCATAAAGCAAACGATTTATAACCTAGATGACTTTTTAATAGAACCATACCATCACATGAGCCCAAAGTTGGAACATGTTGGAATCTCTTTAAAGGAAACTTTTGTCTTACCAATATAACTTGTGGATTTTCGAAGGGTCGAAACTCGTACACACCATCAATCGTTGCAAATAAAAACGACTTTTTGGAACTCGACAATGATTTGGATCGATCATGGTGAACTTTTCTGAATATTTTGTCACCGATTATACTTTTCCATGGCTTAGAAACACATTGAAAACGTATCAATGATTTAACACGTAGCATTATAAGGATGCTATATATGATATCATCTGCAATAAAGAATATACTATGTTCCATGGCTGACTTCGTTGAGCTAAAGAAAAAGAACTATGCATTTAGATCTATGTTTTAAGTTATTATAAATCATAATTATCATTATAAAAAAGGTAAAGTATTTTAGTTAATGTGAAGAAGGAAACAAAAAAATCGTGATAGTTTAGAACTTAAATAGGGGATTCAAGAGCCATAATTCAGAGCTTTTTTTAATTTATTTATTTCCTACTACCAAAAATATTATATCTTACTAAAACTTATTTGCAGTTTGCACCATATTATATTTTCTTTATTTAGCTTTAGAGGGGGTATAAAAGTCGTGGCATCCTTTTCTTTTTAGTTCGTCCCAAAAAAAAATATCACCTTACTATAGTTAGAAACAAATTAACTTTAAAATTCCTTTGTTACCCTTAATGAAATAATTTATAACTCCTATTTTTTGCTGCTTGTTATTTTCATCCTAGTGTCCATCCATTAAGCACTTCCTACATATATTTTTTCCGAAGACCTCTAATTAAAGATGGACAGATTCATATAGATAAAGAGAACATGTATAGCCTTCTTGCAAGACAAAACAAAAAAACATACGCAGACCTTACCACTACCTTATCAAGGTAGAGAAGCTATTTCCGAAAGACACTCTGCTTAAGAGCATCAAATCAAGAAAGCATAGTTTTTAATAAGTAAAACAGTGTAAAGTTTACGAGAAAGAAACCGAAATAACCGCGGTTTAAAAAGAGAAGTTGTGATACTTTTCTCTTTTTTCTTGAACTAATAATAAAGTCCAAGAAACAAAATCTCTAGTACAACAAAAATGAAGTCACAAAGTTTTCTTGTTACATAAAGAATATGCTTTTTAACAATCTACTTAGCAGCAAAGACATGATTTTTGATGCAAACACTCTAAATATGATTTGTATCATGTTTTTCTTACTCTTGACCTAGTTATAGCCAACAAAAGAAGGAAAATCCAGACGGGGGACGGGCAGAGAATAACCCTAGCCTATAAACGTTCATCGGGATCATTCTTCAGCCAGCTCTTGTTTACTTCTATATGAGCTCAGGCAGGAAGTTCGAGTTTAGTGTTATTCTTCCAGCTGCAAACGAGGAACAATGGCTTATTATAACGTTTAAAAGAATGTAGCTCATGTATGGTTGGTTTTATACGGAAATGCTAAAACATTACCTTTGGAAGTAATAGTAGAAGAAATCAGCATAAAGCAACGTCTGCACGAGGCCTGCAATCCAGGCTGCCATAACACAAAAGAGCAATGAAACATAGGAAGTTGTCATTTTGATAACGAAATACATGAAACAGAAACCTTAAAAAGATGCCTGTCTGCTAGGAATAAACGAACAGCAAAAGAATTGAGGAGAGGTAGGTGGCGATTCATACTTATCCAATGTACAAAGTGTGGTTCTGTGAAGTAGCGGTATACCCAGTTCAAGATGTAAAGTGACCGATATGCGCTGCAAAACAAGAATCAATAAAACATGTTAGGTAAATTTGTCATCACTTCCATAGTCAAGTATGAACAATGTGAAGAGCGAGATCAAAGAATGGTTGCTAATCCCATATCTCCGAATTTTTCCAGAACGCTCATCATCCAAGAGCCCCCATTGGTTTGTAATAGCACAAAGGATTGTTACATATCCCGTTGGCTGACAAGCAATATGTTCATTGTAGCCAAAGGTGGTGGTTGTCGAACGACGTCTCAGTAAGAAAGGGATGTGAGGCGGAGACTTGAATGAGGCAAATCTGTCAATCTAATACCTGATGAATTATGTGACCAGCTTATCTAATAGCTTAGTTACGTATTTATACCTTAACGGGACGTTCAACAAGAAGAATTGTTTCAATGATATGCCCTAAAAGACCTTAAGCAAATGAAAACAGAGTAAATTTCACAACCCACTACAAAGAAATACATACAACAAGAGGAGGTACAAGGACGGTATCAGCCATCAGGCTTCACCATTCTGATCATTTTTTACAATTTTAAAAAGAGGATCCATTCTCCCTCCCTACTTTTCGTCATCTCGACAGACAGAACTTTTAAACCCCAATTGTCTTACCAATAGAACATGCATTGGAAATTCTCAAATACTGAAGAAGAAATAAAAGACAACTACACTTTAGGGTGTTAAGTTGACTGCACGACACCCTTGTAACCTGCCAATGATTTGATGTTGCTAATTTCCTGGTTGTGCGAAGCAAATTTTTAGGCATAAGCAGCATTACCTATCCGGTCATGTATCAGGATATACGACATTTTAAACTCTGGATCTATGTACTCACCCATAAAATCAGATCATACAGAATTATAATAATAATAATAATAACATCAATAAATTATCTTGTAAGATTGCATGACCTTGTCAGCCAATCGAAACTAGTTCAGACTTCGCAACCTCTAGAAAATCTATGGCACTATAGCGTATAAACTTGGTGACACACTCAGCAAGCTTATAGTGAACTCTGAAAAGAAAAATTACACCAACTGCCCAGCAACTGAAATCAGTTCCTCAGACAGTGTGTAGCTGTTTTTGGGATCAGAAGTTTATTTTTCAGACAAGGCCTAAGAATTGAACTCCGAGAATCAATCAATCAATCAATCAATTTACTACTCCTCATTCCTAAATTAGTTAGGATTGGCTATTATGAATCCTTGGTATCCATTTCCCTCTATCCAGGTCCACATGGTCAACAAAAGATTACCTGGGGAAGTTACTCTAGCCCAGGCGATTGTATCTGTCAGTTACTGGTTCACTTCTCTCATGACGATTTGTCAATGCACCATTAGTTATATGTTCTTCCTATTCCTTCATTCCTATATTAAGATGTACTCTAAACTTTTTGCCTGTTTATCATAATTTCTTCTATAAAATAATAAATAGAAAAACAAGCACTGAGAACCTGTTATTTGAAGTTCATTTAACTTTCTAACCAATCAACAGAAAGAGAGAGAGAGAGAGAGATGTGACTCTCCATGAATAAAGAAGCTATTTAAAACAAATCACAAGGAAAAGACGACAACAATTATGGATCCAACAATAGCTTATCAAGCTTGTTTACATAAATATCCGATAACCTTAATGAGACGTAGTTGCTACAAGCGGATACCCATCCCCCACCGGCCCACCTCACCCAAAAAAACAAAACAGCATGACAGATAGAGACAGATCTTCATGAAAACAAAATAAAAGAGACTGAGAAAGAAACCCTTAGTAAACAAAATAAGAAGAAACAAAGGAAAGATATTGAGACATGAGCATAATCAAATCTTGCAAAAGGAAAAAAAGGAAAGATACTGAGACATGAGCATAATCACTCTTGCAAAAGGAAAGAAAGGAAAGATGTATCACCCCAAGAGTAAAATGTATTGTCCAGTCAAGTTGTCTATATTTCTTGTTCTCTGCAACAAGACAAGCTGAGGAAAGATGGCGACAGCTTCCAAGAATATGGAAAAGGTCCACATTATCTGTTAAAAAATGCAACCAAATGTCCTTGATAATGAATATACCAATTAACGAGAAAGTGGAAGCACATCCAAGTGACATAATAATATGAAATGCAACAAAAAATTAATTTCAATGAGCTATAGAGAGTGCATTAATACCTCCTTGAAGGTAAACTTCTCATGTATAACAAGAGCCAATACAAGGCAAGGAACCACAAGGAGAACATGACGGAAAGTATCTTGGTCTTTGTCATAAGATCTGCGAACAATTTTGTGATGCCTCATGTACCACACAATTGACAAAGAGCTTCCCAAGAAAACCAACTTCATTGTAGTATTGTATAGTGAAATAAAGTCTGTAAATATGTCCAAGTAGCGAGTAACAAAGACAAGAGCATATAGCTCTTGCGTCTTCAGAGAAACACCTGTGAATAAATAACTCAACCATTAATAAACATAGTCTAGAAACTGGATATTTCCCTAATGTACCATTCCAATGTTAATGATGTCACATGAAGCGAGATTTTTCCGCTTAGAGATAAGAAAACTAAAATGTAAAAGGAGCACAATCCCTTAACATGATGGCTTTCAGCTCACCACCTTCTTTTTCTTACATATCTCATGTCCATGTTTGACATTTACACCTTGCAAAAGCACCTTCAGATCCAGAGTTACTTTAACCTTTCGAGGATAATATTTCTCCATTAGAAAAGTTAAACCAAAAAAGGAGTTAAAGATTATGTCTCTCTCAAAAAAAAAAAAAATCCCCTGTTTGTCATGATGTTTAATCTTTTCCTAAAAGAATACTAGTGATTTCCACTTACTAACAACTTTTCTCTAGTTATTTGCTCTCGACCACTCTAAAGGAAAAGGACCTCTCCGGCATTATAATTTTGTTTCTGTTTGATGCTTCTCATTTAGTTTCTAAAGAATAACACTCCATTAGCCAATGAAGTGTTAGATTCCGCTTTTAGCAATAGTGCAATATACAGGGTAACGGGAGTTTATAACCCAAATAACAGCTACTTAATGCAGCAGAAAGCAACATTTCTGTTCATTGAACAAGCTATTCACGAATAATTTGCTTGCTTCATTATTAGCAGTATACTATATCTTGGATATTTTTCTCCCATTTCTGGACCATTGTTGCAAACAATGTGAATAGCTCACACAAAATTTATCATAAAAAGTCAAGATTTTCAGAATAACACAATTATGAAACCAGGTGACACAAACAGATTGCCTCAAATAAAGTCTGCCCAGATTTAAGCTCAGTAACATCCCTTAACCAACAAATCCAAGAGCAACCTCAATCTAAATGCAGTGTTATCAAAAGCAAAAAGCACAAAAAAACTCTAAGGTCCGTTGGGACTTTAAGGCAAATAAAGATGGGAGTTAATGAGAAAAGGTGCAAATGGAGAAAACGTACAAATATACATAGGTTTCGTCCAAGACTAATAATTATAAGCATGGATAACAAATATATAGACAAAATCTTTTTACAATAAAGTCATCTCTTCAGGAAATCGTCATTCGCAAGGAAAAGTTTATCTTAGAGATTTGATGACGACACTAAAGCACAAATTAAGTGAAGTGAAGTGAAGCGCTCAACGTGAATTGAGGCTCGCTTCCGGGCTTAAGTGCGCTTTAAATGCAAAAAAGCCCTAAGGTCCGTTGGGACTTTTGGTCCAAAACTAATAATTATAAACATGGATAACAAATATATGGACAAAGTAATTGAATCTTTTTTACAATAAAGTCGTCTCGTCACAAAATCTTCATTCGCAAGGAAAAACTTATCTTAGAGCTTTAATGACAACACTAAAAGCGCAAATCAAGCGAGGCGAAACGCTCAACGTGTTTTGAGTCTTGCTTCAGGCATAAGTGCGCTTTAAGCACGCCTTTGACAACACTATCTAAATGTACAACATTTCTGTGCAAAACTTAATATTTTCAATACAAAATTCAACCTATCAAGACAATTTTTCTATAAGAACCAAAAATGACAGCAAACAACACTTCTTTCTTTTATATGACCATGGTGTCCAGGCCAACTTTCACACACCTCAACTAATTCCACGGATACCTTCCACCTCCCACCTCCCACCAGCAACAACAGGCATCAAACAACACTTTAAAACTGAAAACTCAGCAGGCAAGAACAAATTACCTCAACACCTATCCAAATCAACATTACAATAAAACCAACAAACCTTAAAAACACAAAAATTCATCACAATTCCCATAAAACCCAAATTCAACAACATGAAATACAATCCATTCAGCTCAACAAAAAAAAAACCTACATTCCAATAAAATCTCAAAAACTACAAACAACACATTTACAAATCCCAATTCAAAAAAAAACCAGCAAAACACTAAATTTCAACATTTATAACTAAAACAGATAAAAAGGGTATCATAATTTGAGATAAAAAAACATACCAGCACAAGATTTAATAGTATGGATCTTGAGAAGCAAAACAAGAACACTAGCCAAATGGGTCATATCCCCAGCAAGCCTGAATATATTCATCTTTTCTCTAAACAAGATCAAAATTGAATCTTTTTCAACAAACCCCACCAACAGATCTACCTAGAAAAATCACAGATCTTGGCTAATTCTCACACACACACACACTGCTACCAGTTATTTTGTTCTTGAAAAAATTGTACACAAATATTTCGGGCCAAAAAAGGGATTCGTTTAGGTAACGGCAAAAGAAAACGGGTTTAACGCCGTTAATGTGAATGAATGGATATACGTGGCTCGTCCAATCAAAATGTAGCTTCATGCGTGTAAGATTTAAGCAATATGTCATAATACGTCGTGTTTCGTTTTAATTTGTTTGTCTGAACGTCTTTTGATAACTTTTTAATTCCACGTAATTATGTGTCAAATTAAAACAGAACAAATAAATTGAAATAGAAAAGTAATAATAACTAAATGTAATTATTTTTCATCATAAAACATTCGTATACATTTTTATTCTCTTCTAATAATTGTTAGTATTTATAGATTTATAATTGACAAGGCTCGTTGAAAATTTCAATTAAAAACCAAATAGTTTAGTAATTTAACCATAATATCCATTACAAGTTTGTTATCATATAATGTTGTTTCAACTAAGTTAATAATAACTTTCCTGTTTTATTACATATCACTTTTTGTTGATAAATATCGAGTAATTTTATTCATTAAAACTAAGACAAAGTGAAAAAATCACCTAATAGACAAAAGTTATAGAAAGTATTAAAAAATTGTGGTATGTATATAGATGACGTTTAGATATATTAGAATTTGTATGAAATGTTTAGAATTTTTAAGGTCAACTTTGGAATTTTTGATGTTGATTTCTTAAAGTATTATATTATATAGTTTAATAAAATAATAATTAATTATTTATTATTTTTATTATTATTTTGGATATTAATAATTCTTAACATATCGTATGGACTTTCGTGTTGCATGGGCCGGAAAAAGAGAGCCGGAGATTATATGGGCCTTCTAGGCCCAACTCGATGAATGAGTACATAATTTATGTATTAATCACTTCATCGATAATAATGATATATTCAGTATAATTTCGTAACTGGAGTTTGAGAAGGATGATGTGTATGCAACTTTATCTTCACCTTCACAAGTAGAGAGGTTGTTTCGAATTGACTCGCAGCTAGCTCAAGTAAAGTATATTAAAATAAAGGATGGAAAGAAAATAAGTAGTGAAAAAAACATGCGAAAATTTAGAAAAGGAAAACAATAGCAACAACAAATAATAAAGTAATCAAAACAAAAGAAATGATAGGTAACAGTCATTTGAACAACAAGATAGTAGAAAAGTAATAATAATAATGCTCTTGAGGAAAATTAAACAACGCTCGACTACTTACTAATTTTCTACTCTAATAATTGAGCTTCATAACCTCCTTTCAGTATCATGTTCTCCATATGATACGAATGTGCCATGTAATGTCTAAGCACCTCTCCCTTATATTTTTTGTGTGTATATATACCACTCCTCATACCCGTCATATTGTCAACCTCTCACATCTCCTCAATGGGGCATCTGTGCATCTACTCTTCACATATGTCCGAACCATTTAAGCATTGCCTATCTCATTGCGTCCATCACGAGAGTCGCTCCCACCTTTTCTCGAGTATCTTCATCCGTAATCTTATCTCTCCTAGTATGCTAACACATCCATTTCATTCATTCTGATTTCTACTACTTTCATCTTTTAGACATGCAAGAAGGAACGAACCTACTTAGAGTCCTTTAGGTGTTCGAGCTGCACCCATTAACCTTGTATCGAACTATACATATCTATGTAGAAATTAAGAAGCATTTGTGTACAATTAACATAAAGCACCCGATGAACAAATAGTTTGATTGGTCTTATGACTCGTGGTGGGTGCTTAAGGTTGTTTTAGTGTTGTTGAGCCTGGGCACACAAGTAGTCCAACTCTAACAATCACTTTATAAAGCTTACTTTTAAGTCTTACTAGCACAATCTTATAACACAATACATCAAATGTGAACATTCATTTCATCCATCTCACTTTAATACAATATATAGTATCACCGTCAATCTCTCTATTTTCTTAGATTATTAACCCCAATTACTTAAAAACTTTATCATAAAAATAACTTATATATCAATATTCACTTTCACATTTATCACCTAAATTACATCACTCAATTTATACTCCAAATAATATGCAGAAAAATGTACTAATAGTGAGAAACCAAATTATATATAATCAATGGCCACTAATTAAATAGTACTTAGCTACCTAGACGAATTAGAAAGGAAGATACAAATAAATTAATTTAATGCTAAATCCTTCAAACTTAATCTACAGCCCACAAAGCAAAGTGAATGCATTAATTAATTTTGAGACTAGGAATATACCTTACGGTATTTTGATTATTCCACGAGAAAAGGAAAAAAATGTCAACTCAATAATGTAATAACAACGAGAAAAGTCAATTTTATCGACTTACTAATTCAATATCCAAATAAGAGTTCGATTTGAATTCACATCGAAAAAATTCACGATAAAGCACTTCAAATCCAGGCAACAATCCTCGTTAGTCACTTACCATGTTTCTAATCTCCATATAACTAAACATTAATAAGTTGATTTGAGCTTAGTTCCATTTCGATTATATTTTGATAAATGTCATTTAAACTCGCTCGATAATATAAAAGTTCGATTAATCTCGATTTACTCAAAATTGTAGTAAGCTCCTTTGGCTTCGACTTGCTCTTAACTCTTTACACAACTCCACCAACATGGGTTGTGGTGCATTGGTGGGAATGTTTCACCCTTAACCAGAGGTTTCGGGTTCGAGCCTTGAATATGGAGAAAATCTTGTTGGGAGCGCCACCCTCAAATGGGTCCTGCAGAGCGCGATCCGATTTAATCGGAGCTCCAATATGGGCCTCCGGACACCGAATGAAAAAAAAAAACTATTTACACAACTCCATACTCGCTAAGATACAAAAAGAATTAAGAAATTCTAAAGGAGACAAAACTCTTTTTTAAATTTTATTTTTTGGTAACAACAAAGCTCAAATTTTTAGGAGGAAATGATATAAAAGAGGAAAAATATGATATCTTGATAAGATCTCAATAGAGTCATCAGCAGAGATCAGAATCTTCTCTAGATTATTAGAAACTTATTTTTGATAAAAAAAAAATTCAATTTTCTTTTATCAAACAAACATGAAAAAAATTGAATAACATTCCTTTATACCAAACACACCTTAATAGAAGGGGAAATGGTTAAATTTGCACTTTTACTAATTAAAAAAAATCAATTATATCATTCATTATACTATTAATACATAACTTACCCCGTAATTACTTATATAGTTCAAATACATCCATGTAACATTGACATTTTTAGCAAAATAAAATCACGTGACATGTCATCAAAACAAATAATTGCAGGCCCTTTGGCGTGAGAAACTCTGTAAGTTTATAATATAACAAAAGTTGGTGTAAGAAACCAAAAAAAAACCCATTGATTTATGGCCACCTTTTTTTCCCATTGTTTTCTTTTTCTCTTTTCAGTATAACTATCATCACTGTGTCTCATTCCGGTACTTTTTGGCGCTATTTAAATTTAGTCGAATTTTAATGATGATATCAAATACTGAGTAGGACAATTAAAAAAAAAAAGAACTGTGATTGAGGAATACCTCTACCCTTCTCTTCTTCTTTTTTTCCAATTCAAAAATACAAAAAATAATCAAGAATTTTCATTTTCCCACCTTTTCTAGCAAATTCCATTTTTCTCCCCATGATTTTTTATTATATATATGTCTCAAAACTTCAAAAAAATAAATAAAATTGGAGCATATTAAGAGCATATTCTATAGTTTCATCATTTTTTAGCTATTAGTTATATAACCCCTTTTGATTTTTATTGGTGTTATAGTGATAAAGTTTGAATCTTTATCTATATATCTGTGAACCCTTTTGATTTCTTGAAGTTTTAAACCTGGAATTTGGTTATTTGGGGCATGCAAATTCTTGATTGATTATGAAGTATTTTGGGGTTGTGGGGTCAATCTTGATTTGGTTTTTGGTTTTTGTTAGCTTTGTTGAGGTTAATAAGGGTCAAATTCTAACTACACTTGATGGACCTTTTAAGCCAGTGACTGTTCCTTTGGACCAAAGTTTTAGGGGACATGCTGTAGATTTGCCAGACACTGATTCTAGAGTTCAAAGGACTGTTGAAGGATTTGAACCTGAGCAGATATCTGTTTCCCTTTCTGCTAGTTATCACTCTGTTTGGATTTCTTGGATTACTGGTAAAAATTTGCCTTTTTTTTTATGTTTTTAGTTTGAATTGTGAATCTTGTTGTAGGTCCATAGTAGTTGTTGTTGTAGTTTCTTGCCCTTCATTTGTGTTATTATATGATGTTTGTTGTATTTCGACTATCATATTACTTTGTTGTAGTGTTGTTCTGATGTTATGCTATCTGTTGTTTCTTGTACTTCCATTACTATTAGGAGTATGTTTTCTTTTCTTGAGCCGAGGGTCTATAGGAGTCTCTACGTCTGAGGTAGGGGTAAGGTCTGTGTATAACTTTATGGAGATGACCCTCTCTCCCGAGCAGAGGCGGAGCCATGATTTCAACTTTATGGGTTGTGGATATTAGAATGATGATTTCAAGTGTTAATAACTGGTTTTCAAAACTTAATAGTTGTATATATTTTATAGGTTTCTTTACACAAATACACTGTTTGAGCAAAAACTACTGGGTTTCGACCCTGTATGGGTTCTTGCTTCGTTCGTGCTCCCGAGAATCCACTTTGTAGGACTATGGTGGGGGGGGGGGGGGATTTTGTTTTG